ACACAGACAGGATCGTACGCCAACGTTTGCTTGAATCGGATAATTGCGTCATTCCTCCTCCGCACTCCCATGCGGTCAGCGGGTGCACCAGTTCCATAAAAGATCGAAATCTCGAGGTAATCTCGAGGTAATCGGACTCGGTGCCCGGCACGTCCCAGATTCCAGCCATGCCCCGCGTCAGCTGCAGATTCCAGCCATGCCCCGCGTCAGCTGCAGATTCCAGCCATGCCCCGCGTCAGCTGCAGATTCCAGCCATGCCCCGCGTCAGCTGCAGATTCCAGCCATGCCCCGCGTCAGCTGTGGCGTGCCTCCCCTCCCCCCTCCTCTCTGTCGGCGTGCCCCGGCAGGCTCGGTCGCCCGACACACCCATCCCAAACATGGTTCGCGGTGGGTGCCGCCCGGCACAAGGGCGCAGCCGACCTCGGCAACGACTGCCCCCTCACGGCCGGAGGTCAGCTGGAGAGGCGGTTGGAGACTGTCTGGTGTCGCTGACTGAGCTGTGGGGGGTGTGGCCGCGCTGCCGACAGCGCAGCCGGGGACTGGGACACCGCGGCTGGCATAGCCAAACGCAGCCGAACATTCACGGCCGATGCAGGAGCATCTGAGTGACTGACAGTGCCCTAGAAGGTGCTACACTCTCCGTCTTCGTTCATTCTTTTAAATACTTCTGAATGCTCACTCTTCGCTCTCCTAAATAACGCTCCCTGCGCTGCCTTACATCGTGAGCTTGATTTGAGGGCGTACATTCGCGGCTCTTTGCTCCATTGCATCGTGCCCCGACTGCAACTCAAGTGCCAGGGAACTGAGTACGACCCTTGACATGGCGGTGCTACATAAATGCTTCAATCTAAATTACTGTACAATCAACGGTCAAAGCTAGTGAGGCATAGGCCTTGAAGTATCATTAATGTTGGGCCGCCTGGGGCACTGCCCTCCAACTTGCCCCTCACCTCAATCCTATAGGCCGCACGTGATCCGAGGGCCTTAAGTGAGCCTAAACTAAAGCCGCGCCGAACTCAGTCGCATGGCCGTGCCCGCAGGCCCCGACTGCTGAACGAGCAGCCCCCAGTCAACAGCAAGG